GAGGAGGAGGAGGAGAGGACAGGCAGCCTCCTCCCTGTGCCCCTACGAGAGAGTGACCCACATTTACAAGCACTATTACACCACCACCGTAATTGGATTAAGCCAGAGGAAGACTCTTCTATCTTGTTTAGTTTAAACTGCGTTAGCGCTGAAGCTCCCTACTAAACCACAGACAGGCTATCTGGGGTGAGCGCTCTCTCTGCCCAGTCATTTAGGCAGAACGCAATTCTGTTATCTCAACTCTCACACTGTCCCGTGTTCTTTTATCAGGGCAAGCAGCTAATCACACAGCCTGGCTCACACAGGTAATCAGCACTCAGAAAAATGCAGTAAATGCAAAAACCATCCAGGTCTTTAAGGATTCTTTTCACAATTCCCTCTCTCGTGTCCTTACTTTGGCCTGATCCATTTTCTTTCTTCCCTCACTGAAAAAGGTATGCAATGGCCCAGAGCTGAAAAGGTCTGAGCAAAGCCTCAAGTCAACCGGTTTCCACTCCCGACCACGCAAGCTGTGCGACTCTGCAAACCCTAGGTGTGACGTAGCCCAGTTGGAGTAGGATACATAGAAAGGTGAGCAGACAGACTGCAGGCCAAATCTTTCGCTATAGAGCTCTACTACTTTATGATATTTCACTGTCTGAGACACTAATCTATGGGGAGAAAATCCATGCTGTTGGTTATACAGCAACTAATCCAAGGAACAAGCAGCTGTTAAACAGTGACCTCCCTTTATCCATTCACATATTCATTTCTGCTGTATCCAGCTGCCTTTTCCTGCTGCCAAAGCTCAGTTTAGAGGTTTGCATTCTGTCCATCAAAATCATCCTTGCAATTTCAGCTGGATGCGAAACTCTGTTTCCCGCTCTGGAGCTTCTCATCATCATTGTGCAGTGCTGATATGTGGGATTAAACAGCTGATGTGGGATCCATTTATTCAGAGATATAATTTGTGCAATACTTAGGACTCCTTCAGGATGAATGTTACTAGGATTTATTAAATTTGCATGCCACAGTGGCCAGCTGTTTCTGAAAACCCCTCCTCCAGGTAATTATGCTCCTCTGGAGTGGCACAGATGAAGCAGCACAACTGCACCCACAAACCTCCACTGATGGAAAGCATTAAGTGCTGTGGGCTGAGCTGGGCAGCTGGATGTCAAATTACTTCTTAAAGCACATGGCTGAAGGCAGGCCCTCTCTGGAAGAGCTGCTCTTCCCAGCAAAGAAAAACCTCGTTAGTGCAGAACCAGAGCATTAGCAACAGCAGCAGAAATAGCTCTACTTACTACATCATAACCTGTCGGTGCTCGGTTCCGGGATGCAACCACACCGACACCCGTGATGGGATCCATCGGCAAGTCGGGCAAGGCATCCGAGAGGTCTCGCACCTCAGGCATTATGGACTGAACCTGAAAGAAAGGAGCAGAATTAACGGGCTGCTCAGCAGCACACCCCAGCAGAAGACAGAGAGCACCGAGAGCCTGCATGCATGCCACAGCAGTGCCTGTGCCAACACACCACAGACTGCCAAGTTAAACACAGGATTAGGCCAGACACACCTTCTGCACTTTCATTTGCTCTTGATAAGAGGGTACATTTGTGCAGTGCCCAATGGGTTTGGAATTTGGGCCAGCAGCCCCTTCAGAGATTAATTTTGCTGCTTCCAGGATACTTAACATGGGCTGGTCTCCATCTAACAATGACGGAAAACCCAAGCTCATTCTCTTCCCTCCCAAACAGAGGGCAAATTTCATCCCCAAGTCAGACTGGTTGAAGCAGTTCTGCCATTTTAAGCAGCAAGAAATCTGCTCCTAATGGCTTAATTGGGAGGTTGCCCATCCACTACAGGTGTTAGACAGGCCGGGGGTTCCCCTGCAAGCCTTCAGCCCCACCGCACCCTCCCGAACCAGACCATTTTCATGTAGCAGCACAGATGTCTCTGGCGCTGTATGCAAAACCGCGCTTGCCGTGGAGAGCCTCAGCACCAGGGGAACACAGACGAAGCAGCACAGGACGGTCTGATGCAAAGCACAGAGGCCGTGAAGAGGCCTGAGCATCTTCCAGAAGGGAAACATCACCAAGTACTTCAGGGGAGGGAGATACGCAAAGGGCGACAGAAGCAGGTAAGACCAACCAATTCCGGAGAGATGCTGTTGCAGGAAGCGGGAGGAGAGGACAAGAGAGCTGCTGAAACAACTCGCTGAGGAGAAGGATGGGGAAAGGTGCCACTGCCTCAGCACGTGGTCTCCTGCAGAGGCAGCCAGTTAGGGCAAGTCTTCTCTGGCTTTCAGGCAGGAATGCTGCGCAGCCAGACAAGCCGTGAACCAGAGCTTCCTAATTCAATTCCCTCCTCAGAGCAATTAAACCCCAGCATTTCTAGGCCACGTAGATGGCTGGTTACTTACTGCTTCTAGAAAAGGCAGAGGTGAGTGCTGGTGCCAGTGGGACCTGGGTTTACACTTCACAGTGCCCAGTCCGAACAAACATCGTGCTGCAGGCAATAAAAAAGAGCAAGTCTGGGCCCTATGTAAATAATAATAATGTCACACGAACAGCCAGACTACCTGAGCGGTGCAAAACAACAGAAGCCAGTGACCAGTAATGGTGAAAACGCTATTGCCGAGGAACCAAACCCAGGGGAGAGCTCTGCTTCGGCACCTAGACAGGCACCCAGCACGCAGAGCAAGGCGGACCCTCTTTGCTCCCTACGCAGTTCAAGCCTCCGAAGCGCGCTGAGCCGCAGGGGCTCACCCTCCCCCCCGTCGGGCTCCCTGTCCTCACGGTGGGCGAGGAGCAGAGCACCCTGCTGCAGGGACGCTGGTGGCAGCCGGCACAGCCCCGGCAAACCCGGCACCGCTGCCTGCGCTGCTCCATCCAGACGCCTGGCAAGTAATCCAGAACCCACTGCCTAAAATGTGCAGTACCGAGCAAATGTGATGTGAATTTAAACAAAGAATTTACAATCTGTTCTTCACACAGATGCACGTTTTCTGAAACTTTTCCAAGTCACTTTCAATAACGTAATGACTTGTTATTACGCATCGGGAGGAGCTGGGAGATAATGAATGCTGATATGAGATTCTCTGAGGCCATTCTGAACTGAAACCCAGGTAAGCAATGGTATTCCCTGGTGTGGCAAGAACACCGCACGGCAGGTTCCAGCACAGCTGCAGCCGCACCGTGGGGAAGCGGACCTGCTCCCCGGCACCTCTGGCCTCCCC